CAGCCGTGTGAATACCAACCGAAAGATCTGGGTGAGCGAAATAACGTATTTCTGTGCGTCAGCGAGATATAACTTTTGGAGTTGGGTAGATTCGTTGGGAATAAGCCCCGTATTTGACTTCATCCTAAACCAGATAATCATTTGAATGCGTATTTTGACCATGACAAGGCAACTGTGACGCGGATCCTCTAATCTCTGCGTCACCAGTATCCGATATAATTCCCGGAAGTGACAGATATGTCTGAGCGGCTGCGGAGGTGCCGGGAAATAAAGCGGAATGGGAAAATATTAAGCTACTTTTTAGTTAATGATTACTTTGGCGGCACATGCTATTTTTACCTCCTCACACGAGGAGGTTTAGGGTTGCATATAAGGAAAGGAGGATGAGGAGGCAAAAGTGAAAGGAGAAAAGCAGAATTGAAGTGGAGCATATTTCTAGGTTTGGATCCTCGGCTGGAAAATCGAAGAAAAAATAATTGAGCCATCGGACACTAAACTAACTTCCGACCATAACCTGTCGGTAGTGTTAAAGTCAGTAAATGGATCACTAAATGGAAAGTGGTCCTCTGGGTTTGAATGAAGGTCAGATGCATGGCGTATCCCAAAAGTGTCCATTTGATGGCCGAGAGCTCTATTCACTGATTCTTCGCATTCCAATGCCGACCTTTCTATTCGATTCTTTTCCGAGTTTGAACTGTCTGGTGCCAGCCGAATTCTGTTTGTTTTCGACAGGCTTTTCTCGCCTCTCGTCAATCGTCTTTCCTATTGTCACACGACAGCGATCGGGTGGTAAATCATGGAATCATGACCCGTAGCACGCTTGCGCTACGGATTAGAGAGATCACATGTGACGGCGGAGGTCGAGGGTTTTGTAACTCTACACCAACGGGAAGTAGTCTATGAATAGAAGAGGTTGGAGTGCTTTTTGGACAAATCTCAATATTTGCTTCCTCGTTGTCCCAAAAGACATACAAACATCGGAATAAAGGGCCATTAAAACACATTATGTGAAAAAACCCGGTCATCTTCAATTATTGTCGAATGCGCCATGCACATAACTTCCCATCAAAATTGCATACTCGAGTAAATGTTTCTATGCACCGAAGCAAATCGTGCAGTAAGTCAATTACAGGAAAAACTGGTGATTATGATGAAAACACCTCTACGAACCGCGCCTCCACAACTCATCTTCTCTAGTATAATGTTGTAGATTCCCCTGACCTCTACTCCTTTTGGGCTAAATGCTTATGAAACCGGCTCTCCCTTCTGTCTGTATGATTTTCATAGGAGAAATAGGCAATATGGTCGATTTTTTTTGAGTAAGCCACTCCACTTCATGTAGAAACAAATATAGTAAAACAAGTGAAAAAATCATTTCCCATTTTGCCAGAAGACAATTTTCCATTCGTTTTTGCTCGAAGACGAATTTGTAGAACGTTTGTATAGAACAAACAAAATATGATAGTACCTAAAGATTTAAGTAACGCATTCGTTTATAATGAACGTTTAAAGTAACAGCATTCGTTATACCTGACAGGCGCTGCCTTTTCTCTGTCACAAGCCAATCTATGGGTATTGGTATTTGCTTACCCATCATCTCATGGTCAGTCTCCAAGCTTGAAGCAACAAAATACGACGGTGCGAATGGAATGGATTGAGAGTGTACCCATTACCAGTCGGAAACGTATAATTTCTGAAATTCACTACACACCCTCAAATATCATTGAATTTTTTGTTGTTTTATGTTTACAGAGAAGAAGGCGGGTTCTAGCCGCTGAGCGAAAGTTTTGTTCACAACTCTAGCATACTGTGAATATTGCTAGTGTTTCCTCTGCACTCACATACCTCTCCTCGAGATAAAAAGAACGAGAAGTATTTGGCTTAGCGTACGAACTTGTGGCGGAAATTGAGCTCATTCCAGTCACATGTAAATGACTCAGGCACCTACAGGAGGCCACCGCGTCGGTGGCGAACAAAAAAGACCATATCGTCGCGAAACTTAGTCACCGGCAATCTAGGGCGTCATTCAACTCCTTGTCAGCCATGCATTTGCGTTCTACCGCGTGTACGTACAGCCATTCCTTGGGCAACAATATTAGGTTTTACTTGTTTCTCTCTTTATTATAAGGCTTCTCTGCATCAACGCAGAAATCTTCTTCCATTGCTAGATAAATATTGCTAGAAGTTTCTACTGAAGTCCAACGGCTGCAAAACGTAAAAATGCTCTAATGAACATAGATGTGATCGAAATGCCAGGCGGATCCAAACCAACTATCGGTCGTGGCCACTCTCTCCAGACTAGTTCTCATTTGAACCTACAACTATTTCATCAATACTAACATTCAATACTTCAAGACATTCTTTGCATATTTATAATAAAAAAATAAAGGATAAAGCATTTGCCGTTGATCAATCCCTTTTTGGGATGCGGCACGCATTCTACTTCCATTTGTACATTCGTAGTGGCGTTTGAATGCGATGTGGCCTATACAATGACTTGCGGGGGCCAGCCGATGTTCAAGTCAGTTTTTTATCCTCCCAGACAAGTCTGGTACCAACCCGTTGGCCCGGCGACTCACGACCCAGGTTTTGATCCCGCGTACCGCTCGCGTGGTGAGCGCGCCACTTGTCACTAGACCACTTCCGTCCTACTGTAGAAGAAGCAGGCACAAAATGTGAACTTTTATTTATAAAGCAGTAGATTTAAAAGTATAAACTGTTGTATAACGCAAGTTGCAAGATCACAAGTTGTAAGGCGTTCAGACAGACACTAAAACAATTCTAAAGGTCTTTTAAGAATATCACAGTGATACGTTAACGGAACACGTTCCAATTGTAGCACAACACGTACAAAATCGTGAGTGTTAGACTGTAAGAGATTCTAAGAGATCCAGACTGCTAGACATGTTAAAGTGACTCAACGAAATTTAAATCAAAACAAAATGTCTCGTAAACGAAACCACGAAACAATCAAAATGGAATGATGGATTTTGGGAAAGCGATGGAGTGAATTGGGTAATGTAATTTAGGAAGATGAAATAAGTGCCAGGGATAGAATTAGGATGATTTTGACACATTAACAATTATGAGCATATGAAGGAGCAAACTGGAGTGCGTTGTGGGGTTCCCAGTTGGAAAAATAGATGGTACTGTACAGATTATACTATTATAACAACTAGTGTGTAGTGCCAACTTGACTCAACTCGTTCACTCTGAAACAACATATTGTTAGCTATGACATTTGCAACATTGAAAAGCTCGTCAAAAAGAGAAAATTACTCAAACATTGCTGCTAACCCAAAAAAATGAAAAAAAATGCAAGGGAGACATGGTATAAAACTCGGTTTGGTCCTCTGGGGTCATATCTACAGACCCCGCAGGGCGCAATTTCAGCACCACTGCTTCCCTCCCTGCCCCACCTCACTTCATTTCACCTTTTTTGTCGCTTTAGTTGCACAGCCAAAGTGGGCGAGATAATAGCATTGATCACTGTTGATTTCTACATGATTTTTATTCTTCAAAACAATTTAGAAGGCGGGAGGCGCTGCTCTAACGTAAACGATCTGAAGATTGAATCCTGCACGTTTTAGCTTTACAACAGTTCGGATCTCGTACATGAAAGTCCAATCATCCATAGACTTCAAGATCGGGTGATTGTTAAGTTTATGTGATATGTTAGAAACATGGTTCATCCAAGACTGAAAAGCCTCTGCGTATGGTACATGGAAACGAATTGCACAGCGCAAACACCTGTAACCACCTCTCAAAAAAGGATTCACAATAAGGTCGGAGTTCGGTGAAGGAGAAAATTACTTGCAAGGAAGATCCCAGGCCGTCCATGGCCATTCAAGAACGGCTTTGACTAGCCTATATAGCTGAATTCCTGAAGAATGCAAAACAGTAAGCACGATAAGAGACCGATCCTACGACGTTTTGACTGTGAGTCCCGACCACTACCGTTGCGCTGTTTTGCTTCATAACTCCATTCAGAGAATCGTTTAGCAGATTTGGAAGGTAGATTTGAGATCAGCGTTCGAAGGCACATCTAGGCGTATACAACTCTTCTTGAATGGCCATGGCGACCTGGGCTCCTTTCCTTATTAGTGTGAAGGCTGGTGGACCCCTTAAGGGTGCGGGCCGACACGTAATCCGTAGCGAAGGATATGCGGCCATTTAGCATGGCCCTCCCCGCAGCGCTACAGGAGCGGTACGCCCATCGACTGGCTAACCCTTGCTGCAAATCTCTAGCCATTTGGCAGGGAGGGTTACGTTCAAGAAGGCCGCACCGATGAAATGCATCAGTGCGAAAATTAACCTGCAAGGAATGGGTCCTATTTCTCAGATCTGGGCCGATCCTCACGGTTTCTTCTTCATTTCGGCACTATTGAGCCCTTGAGGGAAAAATAAGTTGTTAAGATTCTTAAGCGAGGGGGTCGTAGAAATCCTTTCGTGAAGGAGGGGGTGTAAAAATTTTGCCACGACTAGACCTGGTTGAGGGTAGGTATCCGAAAATTCTTCTTAGACGCTTACGCGTACGTTGAAATGCGGCACAGCTGCTAGACTTCCTTTCTACCCTTTGGGATCGCTACCCACTTCTCTAGTCATTCCCATCTTTCGACACATTGATATTGTCGACCATGCCTTTCAATGACCTCTCTCAAATTTGAGGTTTCTATTATAAATGCATAAGCATAGGACACTACGTCAAAGTGCTACGTTCGACTCAGAAGTGAAAAAAATATGCACGCAACCTGGCATGAAATATTTTGTAAAGCTACAGAAGGATAATGCGAATAACATCCAAGACAACACAAAAACTTACGATGCCACATTTAAATATGAACCAATAAAATATACCAAGGAGATCGAAAGCGACCAACCACCAGATAAGCTATTCCTGAAATCTCCAAGCATAGAAACAGGTCACAGAAACTACCGCAAAAGCGATCAATTATGTTTACCGAGAAAAGAATTTTTAGCACCAGCCCAGCTTGTAGTACTCAGTACAAAAGACTTCCGTCCACAAACTGCCCTGAAATGAAAAGAGTACACGAAAGTTCCATATTATGGCCTCAATGCACTCGATCCGAAGGGATTACCCTTACTTTGGAACGGTAATAAATCCATATCGTGAGATAAAACAAAAAGCGAGGAAATTCAATAGATCAACCATCCATGTTCTCCTGCATCAGATATTGGATGCGCTATTTCACCAATATAACTTTTTTCGAAGTTTAGCTCTCTCGCCAAATCGACAGCCGCCGACTCAAGATTGATGGTCTCGTTCAATAGCCTTGACTGCCAGTATAATTTTTTTCATTTCTTCTAAAGGAATGTGGATTTTATTATTAAGTGCCAAAGACGAGCGGATTCAAGCGCATCGGGGAGGGGGCTGCACGCTCAGATGTTCGGTCAGACTCTGCGATTGCATCGCGCGATGCAGTCGCTCTTGCATTGTGCACAAAGCAACGGGCGATTGGCCCTGCCCACATCGATGCAGTCGACATCGGTATCGCTCGCGACGGGCATTGCCCGCCGCTTACACTTTTGGCAGAGCAGCACAGCACGCGCTGCACTCGTCGTTTGCCGCGTCTACGTTTCTTCCTTCGCCGCGCGATGGGCCTCTTGGGGGATACCTCCAGCCTTAATGGAACACCTCGGATTGCTTTACATCTCGCAGCCGTTCAATGTGACACTAGAGAAAAATAGCAGCAATAAGGCTGAGCGAGAGGCTCGTCGAAGCAAAACACTTGGCTGGGACAGATGAAGAGATAGGAGAGAATTAATACAGCATAAAGTGATGGAGGAAATGAACGGGAGAAATCAAGAAAAAGCCAAAGCGAGAAAAGTAAAGTTGAGAACGTGATTGCAATAAAAGGCAAGAGCAAGCGGCAGCAACTCCTAAGAATGGCTTCGGTAGGCGTTGAATTTTCATACTTCCACAACTTTACTAGAGTAGACGTGAATCAGTCAGTCACATATGTTACGAAAAAACATGCTAAAAAAGCATCTTCCAAAAAATCAATCGTTTTTAATTTATACTCACTGGAATGCACAACAACTTCGTATTGGCCTGCTGGTAAGCCTTCACGGAAGCGTGCTCCGACCAAAGCATTCTCACTAGTACGGTCCAACAACCTCCAAAGCTTGCGAAAATTCGGAAGTGCAGCGGTACGCATCCAAACAATCAGGTCAACATTTTCGAATCCACCGTCCTGACATGGTTCGATTCCCCAGTTTGGCGGCTTGGCGGTACCCTAAAAGTGGTAAATCATGTGATAGAATAATTTATGTGGGTTTTATAATCAGAAAGCTGGAGAATGAGTATAAAGACAAAGCATTTACAGTTTCAAGACAACATACTCAACACCTAACAACCTGAGCGAAAAAACAAAGAATAAATTAAGCGATTGGGCGCTATTGAAGTAGGGGGCACAGTGGTGTCAATGCATTGAAAATGTTAATCTCGTTTGTGGTGAAACAGGGTTGAAGCCTCGCAAAGGGGAAGAAGTATTCCAAGACGCGTGAGCAATTTTCATTCCTCAACATTTCTACCCATCTAGGCTTGGCCTCAGAGGATGCCCCCGTATTTTGCAATATCGCCAAAGCGAGCTTAGAAAAAAGATGAAAACAACGAAATGTGCATCGACTGGTCCTTTTTACTCATGGTGCAGATTGAAACTGCCTCCAAATGCTCCCATAACATTGAATAAAAGAATGCACCCCATAACGGCATTGCTGACAATGAGCTCTATGCGAGAAAATAAAAAGGTAATCAGCTGACCTTGAACGCATCACAAAGATTGCCGCCTGGCGGTATAGGAGGATTCTTGAACTTCTTGTTCTTGTCGACATCCCAAAGAACCTGAAGTGATTATTTACGTGAAACGCGCAAGAAACCAGCAAGTTCAACCAACTTACTCCATCTTTCGTCACAGGCACAGGAATCCTCACTCCGTTGTCAATATAATAAAGCTCGTACGTATCTGTACAAGGGCATGAACATTAAGCAAAGACATTGCTCACCACATTTTTAAAATGAGCTACCAGTGCAAGAACAGCTCAATGTCATAAGAAAACGGACAAAAACGCAAAAATAGAAGAGTTCTACTGACCATTGAACTTCGAGTTGGCTATTGCACCAAC